TTTCTACTACTCTAGACTATTACTCTTATTAGGACGCCTACTATAATAGTCCTCTTCTTTCGTATATAATTAGTATACTTCTCGGCCGCTTTTAGGACTCTCTTTTTAAGGAGTTTAACTAGGAAGTTCTCTATAGATACCTTATTATTGGCCTCGTAGTCTAGACGGCCATCGGCAAAACTGCCACAAGCCCACAGCCAAAGCTGATGCTATAAGAGCCCAGGGAGCCCACGGCGGCTTATAATATTACTTATTAGCCGTAAGTCGCTATATAGAGGCTACGTAGCGCCTCACAGCCTATTTAGTTAGCTACCAGCTATTATAGCACTAGTATACTAGCCCTAGGCTAGCTATTTAACTACTTTATTTATTACGTAATTAAACGTAATTTTATTACTATAAAATTTTTACCTTTTACCAAGACGCTAAAAGCGGGTATTTCGGGTACGTTATAGCGCGCTAATTATCTACGCTAGCTTACTAATAATTTAATATTAGCTAATAAACCTAGGATTTTCGATATAGACGTACTCTAATACCCTATTATACGCTAGCTATAGCCTACTATAGCTATACTAGTTAAAACTATACTTATAATTATAAATTAAAGAAGTTACGATAATTACGTAATATAGCGAAGAGCCCACAGTATCCTAGGTAGGCTGTGGGCCCTACTAGCCTACTAGGCTACGCTAGTAGGGCCCACAGCCTACCTAGGATGCTGTAATGACTTATGGGCTCAATTTGTGGCAGTTTAGCCCAGGAGGCCCTGGGCTAGCCTGGGCTTCCTAAGCAGGGCTGGCAGTTTCGCCGATGGCGAGATAGCCTATTAGTTAGGTTATCTTTCCCTCGTCTCTATTAAATATAGAAGTCGTATACGGCTAGTACCTTAGTCTATCGTATTTATCTTCTATTTAAGACCTTTATAGTTATAAATCCTTATAGGGCTTTATAATCGGTAAGTACTATTATACTATATATAGGTACTTCGAGGTAGTAGCGCTATACCTTAAAGGTCTCTATAATAGCTAGTATCTTATCGTCTCCTATATAGTAGTTTCTCTCTACGGAGTTTAACTTCCTTAAGAAGAATATTATAGACTTCTAAACCGTACATTCTCTCTACGTCTTATACGCTTAGGTAAGTACACCTTCGATTACTACGCCTAACGCGTCTATCTCGACTCTCGATTATCTCTTAGGATCGAAGTAGGTTAGTATTAGCGCGCTAGTAAAGTATCGCTTAAGCTCTTAAAACGTAAGCTTAGCGCTATCGAGCTACTCGAAGGGGCTACTTTTCTTTCTCGCTACTATATTCGTAAGGAGACTTATAATAGACGCTATAATCTTTAAGTAATTCTTAATAAATTCTCTATAGAAGTTAGCGAATTCTAAGAAAACCTAGATCTCTTAATATAATTTTAGGGCTAGCTATTCTTATATCGCTTAAACCCTACTAGAATCTATCGATACGTTTTCGGTTCTTACGCGATATTCTAGAAAGTTAACTTAGGTTATATAAAACTTATATTTTAATAGCTTTATATAGAGCTTATATTTCTTAAGTCGTTCTAGGACTTATCGTATATATTACTTATACTTCTCTATATTAGTACTATAGATAAGTATATCGTCTATATACGCTATATAGATATTATTAAGAAGGCCTCGAAGCGCTTTATTAATATAAGCCTAAAACGTTATAGAAGTATTAGTTAATCTAAATAGTATAACGAGATACTCGAAATACCTATATCGCGTATAAAATATAGTTTTTTAGCGATCTTTCTTTACGATCTATATACGGTAATATATATCTCGAAGATCGAGTTTAGTAAAAATCTTCGCTCTACTTAGATAATTAAGAACTTTAGAAATTAGGAGTAAAGGGTATCGATTCTTACGAGTAATCTTATTAAGCGCGCGATAGTCGACGTATAGTCGTAGCTTTCTATTCTTTTTCGGGACGAATAGGACTAGTACTCTAGCGAGAGATTTACTTAGCTATATTTACTCTTTACGTATACTACTCTCGATATACTTATATAGTATCTTAAGCTTCTTTTTACTAAGGAAGTAAAGCGGTTCGTACGGTACTATTTCTTCTTTCTTAATAGAAATCGAGTATCGAGTTTTAGTTACTTTTAAGAAGATATAGGCTCTTAGCTCGTTAAATATATAGATATATAAGCGGTATACTTCTAGGAGTTTAATTCCGCCTTTCTATATAACCGTAAGCGTTATATCTATATCCTTTATATAGTTAACCTCTTATAGTAGTACTATTAGTATTTCTATTAATAGATTATCGAAGTTCGCTATAAGCTTCTTTATTAATACGCGTAGTACTCGCTCGTCCTTCGTATTTAAGTAGCTTTAAGTACCTCTTTTCTAGTCGATATATAGATTTATCTCTTATAGCTAAGAGTACCTAAGAATTACGTTATAGGTCTAAATATCGATAGCGATATATTTATATCTACGCTATCGGCGTTCTCCTTATATATTAGTCGTATATATATTAAGTCTATATTTTCTATATACTTAAATAGAGTATCCGTTAACGGTACGTACTCGTATATTCAAGATATTAGGTCTCGCTCTATACTTAGTAATAATAAGTTACGAGATAAAGTTTACTTACGCCCTACTATCGAGTAGCGCGCGTATCTTAATAGATCTCTTTGGCGTATTAACTTTAATTTCTATTATAAGTATCTTTAACGCGAGGGTCTTCTACGGGTTCCCCTTAAGTAGTCCTAGTACTATTACGATACTTAATATATTAGGAATTAGTTTTTTACCTTATTCTTCTTCTTTACGGACGTCTCGTCTACGATTCTCTATTATCTTTATCTCTTACTACGGTAATTTTTACCTCGATAGCCCTTCTTTCCGTAGATATAGTACTCTTCTAGAAAGGATCTTAAGTATCTATATTTCGATTTATCTCTTTTTTCTATCGCTAGCGCCTTCTTCTACGTCTTCGATACGAGCTAGTCGAGTTTCTTCTACGGGATCCGTCTCTTATCTCGAGATCTTTAATACGATTTCTAATAGAGATCGGAGATTCGAAAGTTCTTCTTTTTCTTATATTACTTGCTTCGACGCCGTTACGTAATTACGTTCTCGTAATATAAAGCGGAAGCTATAACTTACTCTCGAGAGAGAATCTCTTTATACTTATATATAATTTCCGCGCGGAGCGTAGACGTATAGTCGTTAAGTAGTATCTATATTCTCCGCTCGTTATCTATTATTAATAAGATCTTCTTCTCGATCGTCTCGATTTTCGTAAGAAAGTCCCTAAATAACTAGTTTAGTTCTTACTTCGTTTTCGCTAAATAAATTAACGCTTAGCTCTTACGTATTATAGAGATCGCGACTACGCTCTTTAGATAGTCGATAAATTCCCTCTAGCGTATAAACTTAGGTTTATCTCTAGTTTAGATCTTCTTAGCTCTATTCTCTAGATATATCGCTACGTACCTAATACGATAAGTATAGTAGTCTTTAGCGTACGGTTTTATAGTTCGAAAGAGCTTTCTCTATCTAAGGTCGAACTTTCGAAGTTCTTTAATAGATTTTTCTTTAAATTTTAGTAAAGGGGCTATCCTAATATATTTAGCTAAGTATTCTTTCTCCTCTTCGGGTAGGCTCTAGCGTCGCTTACGAAACGATAGTATAGTACCTTCTACTTCTACGTATCGAGTAGGTTTACGGCCTTCTAGTTTAGCCTCTATTATCCGTATCTCTTTCTTTAGCCGTTTTCGTATTAGTCGCGCCTTAAGTTCCGTATAGCGTTGGTAAAGCTTATTCGTCTCGCCGACGCCCTCTAGGGGATAACTAGCTTTAGGGGTCGCTTCCTCGCCCGTAGCCTCTATAATAGAGTTTTACGATATCTCTTAGTCTTCTATTATAGTATTAGCTATTCCTCTTTTAAGGGTTTCCCCCCGAGTAGGTTTAACTACTATTAGGCTAGTTATACTTCGCGTACGAGAAGCTATCGTTATCGTATTAGTCGCTTAGCCGATTCGGTTTAACTCTTCGAGAATATTATAGATAGCCTATAAGAATAGACTAAGCTAGGTAATAAGTATTAGTAGTAATATCTAATATAGGTATATTATATAAGACTCGAAGAGTTAAGGAGCTTAACCTAGTATACGAGGGGTATACGTATACTATATACTCTATGTGCGTATATGTCTTGGCAGCCTTGACATATATGCTTCCTTTGGCACTCGGCTACCTTGCCATTCGTGACACTAAGGCGTATACGTACTCTTACTCTTAAATACTCTACTTCTTCTAAAATAACTCCTTAAAATAATAATAAATATAAGAGCGTTAATACCTTTAAGGTATACTTAGACGCTATATTTACTAATAATACTAGCCGGAAGAGTTCCGATAGCTATCTCTTTATTCTATTTAGAGGCTCTATTAATTAGAAAGTCTTACGATAGAATACTATAATAACTTTAAGTATAGAGGTAGAACTACTCGCTCTATCTCGTATAGCTAAGGAAGCGCTCTAGTAGAGTCGCTTCTTTAACTCGATATATCTAAAATTTAACTAACTACTTATTATTAAAGCTAATAATATATAGACTATTCGTTTACTAACTAAGAATAATTTTTAACTATCTATGAAGCTAAAATACGTTAATATATATAAGTATTAGTTAAGATAGAAGATATAAGCTAGTAAAATACGAATAGAATAGATCGTAACCGCTAATATAAGAGTAGACGACTTTACGAAAGTACTAATAATATAGAATTATAAACGATTTATCTATATATATCTTCGCCTAGTCGATATATAGACTATACTCGACGATAAAGCGACGGATATAGCCTAAAGAGGGTATATTATATATAGTCGGCTTCGATACCCTACTACTAAGGAATACTTACGTTAGCTACGCTTCCTAAACCTCGCTATCGACCCTAAATAACGCTCGATAACGACGTTGACGACGAGGTTTACTACTCTCTAGAATAATCTATAGACCGTACGAGATACGGTGTTCTCTCCGATTTCTATAGTATATATAGGAGTACTCTATACACTGTCAAGTGGATAGAGCGAGAGCAAATACAACAATTTTAGCGCACCTGCCAACAGCTAGTAACTCTTTTCCGGTGCCTGTTGCACACGCGCCCCGGATGACCATCGCAGCAACTGAACTCAAATCGCTCCAATATCAGGTCAACCAAACGAATTCAGCCTTTTATAGCATCGCGATGAACAAGTCCATCAGCACGGCCGCGGCAACGCTCCAGTTCAGAAACCACACATCCGTTTTTCTGGCGCCTTTGCTTTCAGCCCCAGCTGTGGCGCTGCCACTGCTACTCGGGCTGGTGGACGAAGCCGTCGCAGACGCGGTTGGAGCACTCGGCGACGCACTCGAGGTTACGGAAGTCTCCGACAACAGGCTGGCTCCCGCCGTGACCGTCACCTCCATATAACGTATATCGGTGCCGGTGAATGTTGCCAGGGATGTGACGGTCGCGAGAGTGTTGTCCGGAGTGTCAGCGTTGACGTCTATGTCAGCTTCCAATGTTCCGGGCGAGCCTATCCCGTTTGGCCACTCATACTGCTCTATACAGGTAGCCGCCGTCGTGCCTGAGACCCGACAATTCAAATATTCACCAACAACCGCAGATGTACTCATGTGCCAGCTCGTCGGCTCAATTGTAACGGTTACGGGTCCGTCGGTCCAGTAGCACGCGTCGGTGTCGGAGGAGTTCTTGCATGTCAGGGCCATGCTCGTCATGTTCTCACTCTGGTATACACCACGGCCGTGTCAGCTTCTTGCGTCTCTCCCGTCATTCATTCTTCCCCTGGAACCGGGGATTCTCATTGTTTTGAACGTACCGTTCCGATTACGGACCCCAGAGCTTCTGTGCTGGTGGGAGTCGGCCAGAACATGCTGATCACGGTCGACTTCGCGGACACAGTGTGCGTGAGCAGCAGAGGAGCCGCCGCAAGCGTCTTCATCATGGCGGAGCGGATCTTCGTGTTCGTTGATCGCTCTGTTGTGCGACTCGCTAAAAGCGTGAAAAGCTGAGATGGAAAGGTAGCTAGGTAAGGATTGGTATGGGATGCTCAACAACCCAGAATTTGCGATGTATACCACCTCTCGCGTCTGTGTGTTGGTCCCTCAGGATTGCAGCACCGCCGAGTCCAAAATTCGAACTCATATAAGAAGAAAAGAAGCTACTATCAGTAGCAAGGTCGACGACATTTCATCGTGTCTCATTTCCTGCTCGTCGACCGCCATATCTACAACGTACAGGAACCCCCTGGATACGACGATCTGCAGGCTAAGAAGCCAACTAAAAGGAATCCGAATTCCGGTCCAAGTTTTGGTCTGATGATCCTGGGACATTACCGGCATCTTTGTCTCGTTCACATTGATACTAGTCATACTACTATGCCTGCCATATGTACAATAAATGTGCAACGCTGTAGCTAGCCAGGACAGTCTCTTGGTTGGTTAGAAGACCGGTCGATCAGCGCGCCGCGCCGTCGCCGCCGGTTCTTGGTCAGCCCAACGTTGCTCGATATATACCTTTCCTACCTACATGGAAGTATCTACTACTGATCTCATGGTATTGCCTCAACGTGACAACAGCTCCTGTAGATCAAGAAAGAGTACAGTGTACAACTACATACTGTAGATACCCAAGTAAGTTGCACTGGCGCGACCGACGGCGAAACGAAGCGGAAACCAAACCATGTACAGTACTAGTAGTAGTAACCCCGTGGGGGCCGAGGGGGCCAACTTGAAGCAGATCAAACGGACGATCATCGTTGATACCCGTACCTACCTAGGTACTGTCCATAGCTCCGCGGTGAATTACAGTAGGTAGGTACCTAGGTACAGTACCGCCTGTAGGTAGGCAGGTAGTGCGTTTGTACTTTCTATTTCTACAATAAATGGTAGTTCACTGACCGACTGTCTCCTGTGGTCGCGTGACTGCTTCTTGATCTGCAAATACGAGGTAGCAGCGATAAGTAGCAGCGATAGTGGTCTCGTCTCCATGATCGTGGGCAGACCGGTCCCCTAATAGTTGTGCGCACGGGTCATCATTGACCACACCAAGCCGGTAATAGTACGTAAAGAACGCCCATACCGTAACATTGTTCGTTCCCTTCTTGACGTGATGCGGCAGTCTCAGTATCAGTCTCACGTCTTTTGCAGCAGCTTCTCCGCCCAGCATTTGATCTCCGCACAGCTCCATCTGCGACGTGGATCGCGTTCGACCATGCTCAAGATCCCCTGGACCACGAGACGTGCAGTCTCGGGATCGTGCCCTTCACTCTCGAGCTTGCGCCCGAGTCCCGCTGGCACTTTGGCCTCCTGTAGGTCGCGAAGGACCTGAACCCGTTCCGAGCTCGTCGAGCAGGGCCAAAGCATTTCGACCAGGACGACCCCAAGCGCAAAAACGTCCAGTTTCTCATCGATGACAATGACTGCTGCTTCTGCTTCGGACGACGACTTTCCTCGGTCATCTCCAGGTGGTGGCCGGTAGTACTGTGTGCCCACGGGCTTGTCCTTGTCTTTGTTCTTGCTGCCACCTCCACCTTCACGGGCGAGGTCTGCCACGAGTCCGAAATCGCCTATGCGAGGATTGACGAGGTAGGGAGCAGGATCCGGACAACCGCTGCAAGATCCCACATCCCAATAACCATCAGGAATAACCATGCTGTTGACAGCAGACGACGAAACGACCAGGCTCGACAGAAAGATGTTGCTGGGTTTGATGTCCCGGTGCACCAGTCCCTTGGCATGGATGTACTGAAGCCCACAGAGTATCCCCATCAAGATGCGTAGCGCAGGGCCGAGATGGAAACAATGCTTTCGGTGGAAACTTGTACTGGCACTTCTTCCCTGGATGCTCCTCGACCCGCACGGGGTCGGGGCGAGATATTGCGCCAGCGTGGTGGGATAGACGGACATCTGTACGTGTAGCACGTAGACTGTGTTGTCGACGTCGGATTCAGATCCATGATGCGCGCCGCTGGGATGTGAGAGGCCGTCTGTAAAGACCTCTGAAGTCCGGACCGACGATCTGGATCCTTCAGGGTCGCCGTCGCCGTCGCCGTGGTCCATGGAGACTGTCTGCCCAAAAGCCACTTCAGCTTGGCCCCTGGAAGCAATTGCGTGCGCCGCTTCACTGTCAGACAACCCGAATATAATTCCGTCGTCATGTTCCAGCGCCATTGCCTTCGGTCGCGGTTTGGCGGTCACCCGTGAGCCCTCGGCTATTAGTTTCTGGCCCTGGGGATTCAAAGCTGCTGGTGGTCCCGATCGATATGGCACCTCGGTCATTCCTCGGGGCTCTTCAATCCACGTAGCATGATATCGCACGACATTGCTGTGTTCCAGCTGTGCTAGAGCTTGGACTTCCCTCAACACGTTTTCCAATTCTTTGTGACCCGAATCTCGATACCGCTGCGAAAGACGAGGACTCAAGGGGATCTTTTTGACCGCATACTCCTTCTTGTCGAAGATGTTGTAGGCATGATACACCCTGCCAAACCCTCCTTTACCCAGCAATTTGAGTTGTTTGAAGCTGGACTCGTAATGGCTGCGACGAGGCGGCGAAGTAGAAAAGGTCAAGTCTGTATACTGCGACGCCGGAAACCCACCCTGGCTTTGATATAGAGAAAGACCTGCCAGCTGCTGCTGCAATGAGTCGGGAAACAGACCTGCAGGTCGATGAGCAGGGCGGCCACCACCCATGCCAGCCGTCTCATCAGGTAAAGCACGCTGCCGCTCCCTGGGATCCGTAAGGTCATTGGTGGACTGCGCACTTCCTATTGCGAGTCTTTCGATGCCAGCGAGGTAGGTTGCCCGCGTATGCTGGTTGGCTTGGCTGTCGCTGACAGTCGAGGCCGGTAATACGCCGCCGAGAGCCAATGTCTGGCTCACATCCTGGTACAGCTTCCTCGCTAGTGGCTGGACCTCTGGCGCTGTCCTGGTGAAGTTCACTCCTGGACTTGTACTGTTCATGATCTCGCAAGCTCTGGTTCTCGCGAAGTCCTCCAAGAGGGCACTTAATAGATTGGCTCGATGTTGGCCAATTGTTGGATTCTGTCCATCTTCACGTGCCACACTGTTCTGGCTAGTGAGGGACTCTGTGGTCGCAGTCTCACCGTCTTCCTCAACAACTTCCTCCAGCCTTTGCCGGGACACGTTGTCGTGGTTCTCGTCATCGTCCTCTGACGTACTATTCGCCGCGCTCGAGCTCGAGCTCGAACTGATATCCGTAGGACGACGGAAGAAGGCGGACGACATCGATCCAGAAAGCGAATGGATTATGCTAACGATGACGGCTGTAATGAGGAAACTTCATTGCAAGTTTGAACGCAGAAAGACGACGCGGCGGGAGACGGAGCCGCAATGCTCAAGGCGGCATGCGACTTTCTCTGCGCTGTAATACGCTCAGTTGCAGCTCAACTAAGGTCGCAGAGGTGAAGTTGTCGGATTTATCAAGGGACATGTCTGGCCTGAGTAGCAACAGGTCTTTTGTTCAAGGCTGAACAATAAACAGAACACCTGTTCAAGTTGCCTGTTCGTGTTCTCGCTTGGCGTCACTTACCACCCGCACGATTCGAAATCATTCGCTTGATCAGTGGACAAATTGGAAAGGCATACTCGAAGAGGAACTGGTCTGTAGTAATGGGGCGCTCAAGCAGGCGACGAAACTATTAGACTTGTGAAGGCGGCTCAATCACGAAGTTGTAGTTCAAGTTTGCAGTAGAGGCAGTAAAGTCACGTGGCCACAGTGCAAGTTCAAGTTGTACAAAGACAGCAGGGCCACCAGTGTCACATCTGCGGCTACTGTTGACATGAAGAAACACGGTTGTACTCCCGGTGATACAGAAGGTACATTTGCTTGAAATTCCTGTCTGGCGCTACTATGTAGCCAGTGCCTATCACACAGTAGACAATCCTGTTCCATGACCTGGATTCCCAACCCAACGCCAGAAAAGCAGACCATTCCCTCATGCATAGTCATTGACGTTCAAGTCCTCGAAGTCATCCAGCAGCTCATCCATGTTGATCTGGGGCACCTCATCTTCGCTGCTTTCTCCAGTGGCCATGCTCATCTCATCGGCGTCCTTCTTCTGTTGCTGAGCCTTGTACAATGCCAACGTCTGTCTGAGTTCCTCATCCTCCTCAACATCGCGCAAGAACATCTCATAGTCTGCATCCATACGCTCTTGATCTTGCTTCTTCGGGAGCAGTTCACCCTCGTCTTTCTCCAAGCGTTTAAGTCTCCAGTTCCGGTTCTTCGACTTCTTCTTCCGTGCATAGAATTTCTTAACTAGGACGACATCAGGGATTGTTGACGAAAACTGGCTGCTTTGTTCCAACTCCTCAAACTGGGTATTGTTGAAGTTCGTCCGATCCAGATGATACCCTAGTACCGAATCTCCAGCATGCAAAATCCCGCCTAGATGCGTCCTGACATAATAGGTCTTGTCGTTAACTCCAAGATCTGAAGCCCGCGCAACCGTGGCCTCGGCCCCAAAGAATCGCCCATTCTGGGTTCCAAGGGGTTCGATGTCGAGCACAACAAACTCCACCAGCTCCTGCACATCTGCCAAGCTCTTGAACGGTGCCCTCCAGTAAATGTTCGACGATAGATCTGCCGTCTGCAGGGTGGTGGGGTCAAGGAGGTTGACAGATGTACCCACTCGATAGCAGACCGCCAACGGAGTAATATTGCCGATGGATTTGGCGAGTTTAATAGGCAGCGCAACTAGATCGTCCTTGCAGATCGGGAGAAGTTCGCAGGAATAGGTAAACTTGTATGACTTGGTGGAAGTATGCACATCCATAGAAATCAGTTCTTGAGACTTCTTGACTCTGACGGGCGTGGATGAGGTCAGGAAGTCGACGAATTTTTCGGCGTGGTTACGTTGAGCAAAATAGAAGTCCAATCCGTCCTTGACTTCCTTGATGTTGATGGTGTCTTTGTGTGCTTGATGTTTGAGCACCAGTTGCTCGAGGTACAGAAAGGTCCGTTTATGAGGGACTTTCTGGCGGACTTGCACTGAAGCACGCCACGTGTTGGGCGTGAATGATTTGGCACATTCGGGGCATTGTTGGTTAGCGACGACGTACTCAACTTCGAAAGTCTGTTGCAAGATGGTGCCCTCGTAGGCTTCCTGCTGGACCGTGATTTTGACTTTGATTCGCCGCGAATGAGGTTCTGTCCAAAGAAAACTGGCATCAATGATCCGGACCTTGTTGAGTCCTCGCAGTTTCCGCAGGCACAACGCCAGGAGTTCCCGGCTTTCTGGAGCGGCGGTTACCCATTGCGAGGGCGGACTTAACCATCGTTCGCAGTCTCGACATGTGTGTAATACGCCCTCACGCTGGATCCCCTCGGATACATCGATGGTAAGTTTGATACAGTCGTAGCATAAAGCCCCGGCTGAGACTGTGCCATCTATGGGCGCACCACAGTTGCAACAAAGGATTGTTGCCGCTTGTGGTCTGTGAAGAGAGGGAAGAGAAACTGGGGCATCAAGATCCATCGACATGGCGAACGTAAACTGGAGTGTTGCGGTTGCCACTTGTAAACCGGACTACGAGCCAACGCTCGAAGAACGTCGATGGCAGATAAAGGAATTTTCTACTCAGGCAGATGCGGCGAGAGCGAAAGAACGGTAAGTGAAGATATAGGACTATTTCTTTAAATCAAGAAGTGATGTTGAAATTCGCCGCCTTACAAAACTTCTCTGATGGTCGCGGAAAATCAAAAATCCAGATCGTAGCACGTGATATCACGTGATGCGAATCTGACTAATCCTCCCTTGTACGTTGTAGGTATCGACCTGCGCTCACTGCCAGAGACTGTGTTGGCGGCGGACAATTCTCGTAGACAAAACATCATCGAGCCTCGGGGTCCAGACCATCTTCCGAGGTTTGTCCTCTCCGCAAAACGACAAATTGACCTGAACCCATCGCTTTCTGGGCCATACTTTGCAGGCACCGGGTGCAGAGTGACCAATTTATTTCCGCTCGTTCATGCCCACTCTTGTGTTTTAATCGTCATGAAGGCTTGTTGCGCAAGATACGCGGCCGCTCTTGTCGCTCCAAACACTGCTGCCCGCACTGCAAGTCTTGCGTCTAGGTCAAGAGCTCAGTTTCTTTCTTACAATCTTGGCCGAAGAACGGTAAGTCGCCCATCATTCTAAGTATCAAGTGTGGTTCAATCGAGGCTCACGCGTGGCAGATGTCTTCGACACCGGCAAGATACGGGGACCTCCCCAAAGAACTCCCCGGCGATGATCCAGACGATGTCTTGTTCAACTCCCTGTACGGTGTGCGAACCATTGAACTCAACCGACCGAAAAAGCTCAATTCTCTGAATGGGTCAATGGCGAGGAAGATTCTCCCCCGGCTGCGAGAATGGGAGAAGTCGCAGATCGCAAATATTGTCATGATCAGTGGAGCAGGTCCGAAGGCATTTTGTGCTGGTGGTGATGTCGCGGAACTTGCAAACCAAAATAGGCAGGGACCAGAAGGGCAGAAGAAATCGTCAGACTACTTCGCACTCGAATACAAACTGGACCACTTGATCGCAACCTACAGCAAGCCGTATATCGCAGTTATGGACGGCATCACCATGGGCGGAGGTGTTGGTCTGTCGGTCCACGCCCCTTTCCGGATCGCGACCGAGAAGACTGTCTTTGCTATGCCTGAAACCACCATTGGATTCTTCCCCGACGTGGGTGGAAGTTTCTTCCTCCCCCGTTTGGATGGTGAGATTGGTACATACTTGGCGTTGACCTCTGAGCGGCTTCATGGTGTGCAAGCATTTTATGCCGGAATTGCTACGCATTACCTGGACAGCTCTGTCCTCGCGCAGTTGACCACTCGATTGTCCGAGTTGGTCTTCCCTGACACGGCAAGCTTGATGGATCGACTTCAGCTCATCAACTCTACCATTTCCGAGTTTGTAAGCACCCTACCGTCGCCACACTCGTACGAGGCTGCAAAATACGGCGATCTTACTGGCTCACTGCGGGAGGCAATCGACCGGACCTTCAAGTACGATACGGTCGAGGAAATCCTTAGCGCCCTCCGCAGAGAGTCCGAATCATCGGACCAGAAGATTGCCGACTGGGCACAAGCGACTCAGAAGACGATTTCTTTGAGATCGCCTACCAGCTTGCGTGTGACATTGCGACAGCTACGCGAAGGGAGACACTGGAACATTACTGAGACTTTCATTCGGGAACACAAAATTGCAACCAAATTCATGGCCCACCCGGACTTTGTGGAGGGCGTCACAGCCCGTCTGATCAACAAGCCCCCAACCAAGCCACAGTGGAAGCCCGCAACCCTGGAAGAAGTGTCCAAGGAAGCGGTGGATGAATTCTTTGCCGACTCTAGCGAGGAGGAGGCGTTGACCTTGGTGGATCCGTATCCGGGGGCACTTGACCAGCACTACACTGAATATCCTCATGCCGTCTTCTCCCTGCCACGGGAGATTGATATTCAAGGAGTGGTGCGAAGCTACGGCCGACAAGGGTCGAAGAGAGTGATTGAGGAGGTGCTCAAGAAGTGGAATCACAAAGCCGGCGTGAGAGAGAAGGTCGAGGAAGTCCTTGCACGCAAGACCATATCGGCAGATGGCAAGGCGATATCCTGGAAGAGCAAGGATGCCAACTTGTAGAATAGGATGTAGCGCCCTGTATATGTTGGCCATCATAATAGAACATAACTCGCTGTACAGACTTATTTGAGCATGGTTCATATGCCTGCTCTGCATGAGTGGCCGCAGAGCATTGGGTTACCGTATCTGCAGAGATTCTGGCGATGCCAGGGACGCGCGGGACCTGCACTGGCGGCGCCGTGTCTCCAAAACTTGAAGTTCGACATGGCCCCAAATTTTTCTCCGCACTCTTTGATTGTCTCAACTCGTCACTTTTCGAATACCAATTACTTTGTTTTAATAGCCCAAATCCTGTCATCCCCAGCCATCTCTCTTGCACAAAATGTCTTCGGCAAAGAGAAACGAATACCTCGATTTTGGGCAGTCAGAAGAATCGGACAACGACACAGGCTACGACTCCGAGGCTGCGGAGGTGTCGAAGGCGGGAAGAGCCAGCAAGCGGCGGAAAATAGATCGCGCCTCGAAGTACAGCGACGATGAGGCAGACGCGGACGCGGTGACTGCTCCAGCTGCTGCACAGTCGACCTCTCATACCACCACACAGCCACAACCAGAGGATGACGATGATGATCGGAGGCCGTCGGCAGCCAAGCCTGAGGGCGAGCGGGAGACAACTACAACGTCCGAGGCAGCGACAGCGACATCGCAGCAACCGGCTAAATCGAAAAAGAAGAAGGACAAGAAAGAAACCGTGCCGGGAGTGATATACATGTCATCAGTACCGCCGTATCTCAAGCCATCTGCGCTCCGCAACTTGCTGGAACAACGCGGATTCAGCCCGATCAAGCGGCTGTTCCTGTCGCCGGCGAGCAAGCATAAATCCGGATCGAAAAAGAACTCGCGGCGGCTATACACGGAAGGCTGGATTGAGTTCGAATCCAAAAAGACGGCACGACGGTGTGCGGAAGCCCTGAATGCGCAGGTGGTTGGCGGGCGAAAGGGCGGGTTCTACCATGACGACGTCTGGAATCTAAAGTACCTCAAGGGCATGCGGTGGGAGGAACTGATGGCCGGCATTCGAGAAGAAAAGAGAGAGGAAGAAGGTCGTCGGGACGAGGAGAGAAGAATCATTGCGCGCGAGACTAAGAGATTTATTGAGGGTGTGGAAGAAGGTCGTAGGAAGGAAGGGATCAAGAGGAAGAGGGAACTCAAGGGTGCGGCTTCGGGCTCTGGTCACGATAATGATGCCGACGTCAAGAGAACCTGGAGACAGGTGGAAGTTAAAGGCAAGAATACGCCGCAGGGAAAGGACAGTATCAGCGAAGATGTCAAGGAGGTGCTGGGCAAGATCTTTTGATGCTGTCGCTGCGCCCTTGTGTGCTGCTTCTTGGTCATATCAGGGGGAGGGGACATTTATGATCAGTGAATGATAGCGAACTGAATGGTCTTCTACGCTGTCTCTGCTCAAAGTCCGGTTTTTTGAACGACTACCAGAAATACTCTATTGTCACGTTCCAACCGACCAGAAACTTGTCAACATATTCCAATTGCGGCGTTGGGTCAAGGTTTCGACAGTCAACGAGGTCCGTTTTCGCCAAATGTGCTCTGGCAGAGTCCTGCTAAGCCCCGTCAATCAAGTCGGGTCACAATACGACAATCAAGAAGTGATGTTTCAGCTTCTGCAAGATTCGGTGTCATATTGGTATGTCTATCTGTTGGATGCGATGGATAACTGTCCTTGCACGCCATGGTTTGGTCAATTCATGTGCCATACTCTGTGGGATTGGACCGACCGCACTTTTTTCAACTGGTATGGGCCTATCAGGGTTGTTCCTGCGAATATCCAAGGTAATTCCCATGTCAAAACCCCCCACAGAACGAGTTTCCACCGTCCTTGGCCCCCTCGGCCCGCCTCGCGAATTTGGGTGAATTCACGTCGAAGGGAGAGAATTTCGGGGAGCAATACGCCGTCTTCGATGAGGAAAAGAGGGATAAGTTTAGTCAAAAATCAAAAACAGACAGAAGAACATGAATGAACAGGCCAGAGCTCAGATCGGCGAGTGGATTGTTCTCACAAAGGATCAACCGATGTCGGCAAGACTATCGATAATACGATGTCATCATCGCTGCGGTTTGTTCATGCAGAAGGGTCGAGCAGGAACGGTGACCAGTCCTCGACGCTTTATACAGGTGGTTGTTTCTGCGATGATGGTCGATCGGCCGTCAAGCCATGCCTTGGGAGCAGCTTGGTGGGGTTGCCATATCAACGCATTCAAAGGAGAAATGATACGTTGGGCAACTGGGAAGGAGGGATGATGTTTCTCGTAACTCGAGCGAGATGATAGAGGATAGGAGAGGTATCTGGCGACGAGATGAGCCTGTAGTTGGTAAGTGGGAGTCATGTCGTGTTAGGACACATTGGGAAGCTGGAGAAACCAGGCTGAGTTGGAAGCAATGGACGAAACGGCAATCTTGCCTTCGCAACATTATGAACTGATGCTCGTTACACAAGCCATCTCAAGCCATTGGCACTGCGCCCCGCTGTGTTCATTAACCCCGTGACCGGGACGTTCCAATGCCAGCTGAGTGTGGAAGAGTCAGAGCTGGACCATGGTTGGATAAAATAGACCTGTCTGACTGCCCCAACATGTGTGGCCGGGGACTTGGACTGTCGCACATTTCTTTGCGTCAGACAGCAGGATTTATCCCAGTTACTGTATATGGGTTAGCTTCGTCCGGGCGGACGACGACAATCTTGCGCTCAATCGAAGCGTCTTCCCATCTCCCACTTTCTCGTCTCTTTCTTCTCTTCTCTCTCCTTCTCATCCTTCACACCATCTACATTCCTTCAGCCTTGCGCCAGGCACCAAGTCAAGGCGCAAGCGCAAGCGCGAGTTCAAGTGACCTTTTCCCCGCGTCCGTTCTCCGTCGTCTTGGACAGTTCGTCATGGCGGCAACAACATTCAACGCATGCGTCCGCAACTTGGTCTGCGCATTCCCACCATAAGGACCATTCACTATGGCCCAATAGTTGGGAGCCTTCGGTTTCATACAATGTACACACACGGTCCTATCCTCTGGTCAGCCAAGCTGGCCAGCGAAATGTTCACTCGCCTTGGCCTTACGACCAATCCCATCTAAATTCCTCACCGGTCATTGAGTGTCCAGATCCATTCGACAGCCTCGCCGAGATCGAGCAGCATGACCCTCTTCATCACATTTTCGACAATTCATCCCCTGGAGTGGATGGGTCATTGTCTGGTTTAGGTGCTACCTCCTGCGTCGAGGATTCAACCGTGGATGCCGGATCAGTTCCGGAGTTTCCACAAAACTTCTTCCTCAATCCCTTTGCTGTCTCCTTTCCAGGTGATATTCCATGTCCGACTTCTGCACCGACAATGGCGTCGATAATGCCGTCGGTGTGGAGTCCATGCAAGCCTCCTGTGGCTGCTGGTCCGATTTTGGCGGCGAGCTCACCTGCGCTGGCAGAAGACATCGGGTCTGAAACGCCTGTTTCCAATCCAACTGTCCAGCAATTGCTAGTGAATGGCAGAACTCGCTCATACGGAAAGCAGACCCCGAAGGAGGTCACCAATTACGGATCTGGGATCCACTTTGTGGACATGGCGGACAAAAAGGGAGCACAGCGAATTCGAAATACCATCAACTCGCGAAAGCACCGCCAGAACAAGCTTAACAAGATCCGAGAACTGGAGAAGAAGCTTGCGACTTGCGAAGCTGATATGAAGAAATGGCAGGGAAGGGCGAACCAGATGGGGTGGAAGGAGGAAAGCCACCATGGTGTATGATGGCTTATCTTATAACCTATGTACCTGCTTAGCTCACATTGACCTTTGAGGAAATCTTGTCCCGGCCATCAACGAGACCCAGTCTAGTTCATTCTCGGTTGCTACCAGTACCTTCATGATCTTCGTGGGGCAAACCCCTCGACTCCATTGGGGTAAACCTGAGATGGAACCTTTTCATTGCAGCAAAAAGGGCTGGTAAAGTGTAATTTGTTGTAGTTGTACCAATGTGTCGCTACGCCATGAAAAGATGTATACCTCAAACCCTCCCAATGGTATCCTATCGTACACAGACTGCAGTAGAGCGTGCTATATGTTGGTCAGGTGAGGGGCGTTCAAAGAGCAGCAACTTGCACGTAACAATAGTGGCCGGCTTCTGATTGGCCAATAGCCAACATCACACACATATCGAACCCCCTGCCTGCCACAGCCTTTCCACGCCCTTCCTTTCCACAGCCAGACAGCCATAATAATCGCCCCGGTCAGCTCGGGATTTCCGCTCGTCATCTTCTTGACCATAGTCTGGTTTATTCCGTCTTCCTAGTCACAGCAGAACTTGTTTCTCTTCGTTTGCGGTCAAAAATTCTTGTCAAGAGACGGCCCAGACCGAGACGTCGGGAATGACCTATGATAAAACACTCTCACAGTAAGCCGATAGACTGGTCAGCGACTACAACTACATGCTTTGTTAATGTTGTCCAACTCGCTTCCCTCTGATACAACCGCCGAGTGGGCACCCACAAGGGGTGTCTACTCTGCATCAAATATGAACAATCCCACCAGGGAAGAGATCCTCGACATCCTGTCAACAGCACCACCAAACGAACTCTCTTCAACCAACACACTGCGACGACAAGCGCACGATCTCATCGCGGCATCCACCACCGACGCATCAGCACTACCAGACACGCTTGTCGAGCTTCTCACCCAAGTCATCAAGCCGCTGTTCACAAACACCAAACACCCGGCCCTGACGGCGACAGGTCGAAAGAACCTGGTATCAGCTCAACACCCCCTGGGATCTTCATTCACGCGACAATTTTCTTCCAGCGACGACGACCGAGAGAAGCCATGGAAATCCACACTCTTCACAGTCCCTTTACTCCGCTACATCTTGGCCAGTTACAACCACCCGTCCGGCGAGCCTGGCGGTCCGCTGGAGGAAAAAGCCAAGACCACGATCGAATCCCATTTCTTCCTGCTTGTACCACCAATCCTAAACCTGATCGACGACAGCGACGCATCATACAAGGCCGCAGGGTGTTCGTTGCTGCGTATGCTCTGTCAAGTGCTCGTGGCCGTGAGGAGCGACATGCTCAAGCGCACGGGGCTGGGGGACGTGTTTGTCGATGCTCTCCGGGCGAATTTCATGCTGTTGCCCCCTCTCACGCCGGAGGAGGACAGTCTTGCCGTGCTGACGGAGCTGTATCCTGCCTTTTTGGCCCTGGTCGATGCCAGGTTTGTGAATCTGAACGGTGAGACTGGCGTTCGAAAGGACATCTCGGTGTCAAGATCAACTCCATCTCCTACTCCTGCATCAGCACAGAAATCTGCCGCTGCTGGTGGCATCAGGGAAGATGTCCAAATGGGTACAGACGTGAAACCGCATCGCGCTAATGCGGACCCCCCGAGCGGCACCACTTCAACTCCAATCCCATCACCGACACAAATACCACGTACTGAGGCGGAAGAAGTACACATTCATAATCCCACCCACTCAATAGCTCAGTCAAGCAACCATACATCGACAAACTCCTCACAACCACAATCCAAGAAGACCACCATCATTCCACAAGACGCCGGACCCGAAGTTCAAAAAGAAATCCACCTTCGCCTCTCCCTCCTTACCCTCCTCTACCGCCACGGCATTCTTCGTTCTCTACACCATCTGACCTCCTCGGCCTCGGGATCCCTGGGAACCACCACATCCGTGCCCATAACCACATTTCTGGTCAACCAAATCTGCCCCGTCTTCCGCCGTCTCGACATCGTCTCCGTCAAACATTTACAGTCGTTAGTGCCCATGCTGCGCGTATCGCTTATGGATCCGTTCCTCCTTACCAGCACCACCACTGAGAAGGACGCGTCCTTATCTCTGCCACTTGCGGTCCTCGATGTTCTTGACTGCATTGTGGCCTTGTGCACCCCCCGTATCCGCGACAGGTGGTACCCGGAGATCCTGAGGGGTGTGGTTGCATGCTGGTTGAATTGTGTCGACGATGTACTCCTTGAGACTACTGGGTCCGGCGACAAGTCCAAGTCCAAATCCGTCGGTGCGGTAGCTGGTGCTGATGCAACTCAACATCTTAAAACTGTTATGGACCGGCTCAAAAGTCTGGTCAGATTGCTCGGCAGCGGGCAAGTCGTCCCCAAGGCCGAGTGGGAGAGTGTGCGGAACCGCTTGGTTGGTGAGGAGAAGGATCTTGAGGCCTTGTTTGGGTCAAGTTGAGGTCGAGGCCGTGGCGATACCTGAAACACTGAGAACTTGGGCTTGGATTGATGTGCACAATGTACTGTGATATGAACATGATATCCACCTGACATGACCACGGTCTGACCTAGACAGGTCATGGATCAGTTTGTAACTGGAACGTTGGCGGCCACTGTGGTACCAAGATGGGTTGACTACTAACTACTCTATGTATAACTACTAGTAACGACTTAGATATATGTCCCATACATGGTCCGCCTGCCGTCCATAACTTCCGTCCACGCATCTCCTGCAAACGCGTGCTCGGCATACTTTTCCAGCCTTGTAGATAACATGTTCTTCCGCCCCACGTCAAGCAACCGTGCGAGGAATGGCACGACGTGCGCATCGAGAGCAGTAGGCTCCTGTGTGCCGAAAATCCATGGTGAACCATTGCCCCTTTCTTCTGTCTTCTTGAGAAGCTCATCTACTTTGGCCAGGAACGCAGACGCCTTTTGCTCCTCGCTAGCGACGGCTTCTCTTGTCAAGGCGGGCGCGCGTGTGGCTAGGACACTGGGGAAATTTGTCAGGAATCAGCCCAGCCTCCGCAAGCTCAGATGAAATCATCACTGATGCCATTGAGTGAGTCCAGGCGGACCTGCTCGATGGCCTAGGTTCCAGTTCAATGGGAACTTAAGGTGGTTGCTAGTAGAGTTTAGGTACTTACATTTCCAGTTTATATTCCAGAGCCCTGCGCCACCGGTCCGAGACATCAGGGTCATCGAGACGCTTTTGGATGTTACTCACCATGTCCTCGGCGCGTTGAGGTTTGTGGGTATAGCTGAGCGAGAAGTAATTGATGTTGTGTAGTTCAGCGAGGAGACTCTTTATCTCGTCGGATAGCTCTCTTGGAATCAAGAATGGATAGTGTTGGGCTAGAAGATATGTTATGTCCAGGCTTTCGGCGAGCGGCGCCTCGGCACCAGGGATGGTGAGGACAGGGACCTGCGAAATGACCACTCTGAGTTAGGCAGAGAACGGATATTGGTACTTAGTAATGATGGTGCACTGCAGTGCGGATCGGGACTATGTACCGTTCCTTTAGGATTCACTTCGCATAGGTAGAACTCGGTCAATTGGCCGCCATGCTGGATGTCGATAACTCGCTGCTCAATCTGTATGGGGCAATCCTTCCTCAGACGTTCGCATAGTGATATTGTGTAGCGGACCATTATGGAGCAAATCGAGTAGTCGTTGTAGTAGAGCGTATAGGGGTTTGCCATCTTTGCGACTGGGTCTCTCGGAGGCCTTCCTTCGTCGACGAAGAGTGTCCGACGGCTTTGGAGACAGCAAGAACGACTGAATGAAGATAGAGTATCGACGTAGGAAAAGAGCCACGATTGAGGACTGTTCACAAGTGATGGATGCTCGTGCTTGCCGGCAGTACTAAGTTGAGTATGCCATCACCTCGCCGCTACTTAGCACCATTATGACTCTTGATCCCATTGTTAGACAAGAACGACAGTAGGAGCTACACATCTGTGGTGTCTTCTGGTCCGAGGCTGGCTCGGGGACATGTCGGAATCAGTCGAGTCCTGTCCTGTACAAGCAAGTTGTCGTTACTAGTATCCTGGGGCAATCGGGGAATCAGGGCGCATGGCATAGTCATTCCTGTATCCTCCAGCACTGGTAAGTTGTCGACCATCTGCCTCAGCCATAAATCCAACGGTGGAACGATGGCAACATTTGATATCGGTACTATTGCAAGAACGTGAGCTTTTGAATCTTGCGGGATGGAGCTTCGCCGCCTGTACACCACAACTTTGAACGGTGTCGACAATCAACTGCACATTTTAAACCCTCTGAAGAACTACTTAGTAGAGCCTCATTACTGTTGAGTCTACTCGCAAACCTTGAAGTCAACATGCTATGATGTCCTTGTCTTCCACATGCTACGGAGCCTGGTATACTACTAAGCTTAGTACTACTAGTACATAAGTGCGGTATTTCTCGTTTTCAGATCCCCATGCCCCAGACTCTGACCTTCCACTTTGGATCCGTCCACTTCCCGATTCGGTCGCCGGCCACGAACCAGCCAAGCGTAATGGGCACGTAGTCATTAATGGATACGGACAGAAGCATGTGTTACCCTGCGTACTGTCAGTACTGTGATTGACTTTCATCTGCATACATAGGGATCTGCCTATATACACTAATTCCGAACCGGCCTCAAACCGATTCCAAACCGGTTCCAAACCGATTCCAAATTGATGCGCTTTCGATTCGCTGCCTTATACTCTTGTCGGCATTTAAAATTATATTCGAACCGCATTCGGGTCATAGTAGAATCGAAACCTACACTTGAGAGTACTAAGCACCTATAGTCGATGGGACGCTGGAGCAGATATCTACATGCGCAGTAGGATGCTGGAGCCTGGGTATATAGGTATACCTAGGTACCTAGTACGTAAGTGGTAGATACACCCGGGAGGAGTACCTAGGTGTTGTACACAGTCGGCTCCGATGCCCCACTGCCAAGGAACACTTACGTTAGCTGCACTTCCTGAATCTCGCTACCGACCCTAAATAACACTCGATAACGACGTCGACGACGAGATTTAATACTCTCTAGAATAATCTATAGACCGTATAAGATACGGTATTCTCTCCAATTTCTATAGTATATATAGGAGTACTCTATATACTATAAAGTAGATAGAGCGAGAGTAAATATAATATTTTTTTAGTGTATCTATTAATAGTTATAAGCCCGGTTTATGACTAACTACTCTACGAACGATTAATAACCGAATATATTTATTCGTAATACTTATACTCTAATACGAGAACTAATTAATAGTATTAATAAAATTATTCTCTACCGTAATCGAAATAATAGTAATATATTATAAGGAGTCGACTCGCTCTTCTACTATCTCTATTAGAACTACTTCTATTCTAAGTACTCTTAATAACTAGAATAACTAGTATAGAGTCTTTAAAAGTAAAGTATAGGCTAACGAATTATAGTAGTATATCGACCTCTCCTAACCCGAATCGATTCTATTACTAGAGCCGCTTAAACTACCTTTCTATATTAAATTAAATACTCTTACTTAGAAGAAGAAATAGACGCTAGATAGGAAAGATAATGTTAGGAACGCCTAATGGGAATAGGCAGAGTACAGCGATAAAGTCTTTAATTAGTATTAAGTACTCCTTAACTCTATAGTTGTATACGACTCGAAGCATAAGAGAAGAAAAGCTCTCTTATATAGGGTATATATAGTTTATATCTCTTAGCTTCTATCCGAATAGCCGAGAGATATAAGTTATCGATAGTTAGTATCGATATTCGTAATATTATTCCTTTCTCCTAGGCTTCTCGTCCTCGAGAAGGTATAGGGTTTCGTACCGATAGAGTCGCGTACGTAGTTATAGTTACGTAGTAGATACTCTTCTCCTTTCTAACGTAGCCTTACGTAGCCTTATAATAGTATCGTATATTCTAAAGTAGTATTTTTCTACGCTTAGCGGTATATCGCCTACGCCTTATAGCTATAATAACTTATAAATAAACTTAAGTCTTCTATTATATTCTTTATTCGTCTTCTTATATAAGTCTATATCTTCGATTAATAATTATAATAATAGTTCGTATATTCTCGGTTATATACGAATAGTATACTAATAGGAATAGTATTAATTTTAGGTCTAGCGAACTCTTCTACTATAATACTCTCTAGTAGAAAGCTATCTAGTAAATCTTCTAGCTCGTCTAATAAGAGTAAGTAGAGTCTATCTTATATACGACCTTACGCTAATACTTGTAGCTCTACCTAACGATATCCTCGATATTCCTAATAACGAGATACTCTACTAACGATATATCTAATCTCTTAGGGACGGTATTTAAGAGGTTACCTATAAGTATAAGCCCGAAACGATACGCTATATAGAGTATATACGTAAGCGGCGGACTATCGCGTAGTATCGTTCGGTAAGTCTATACTATATCGTATACGATTTATATACTAACTATATAGATTTTCGTTACTCTTCTAAACTAGGCTAGAGCTCTACTTATTATAAATAAGTAGGCCCTACGGACTAGTAATAGCTATATAAAAGTCTATACTATCGTATACGCTCTTTATCTCGAGATATATATAGTAGACTAAGTATATACGAGGGCTAATAAGAACTCTCTATCGATCTCGCCCCTAACTTCTATACGTTCCTCTACTATGCCTCGTTTAGTATTAATTCTAAATATACTAATAATTCGATAATTAATAGCCGAGATAGTCGCGTCTACTTTCCCGAGCTCGTTTATAATTCGCCGTCGTCTCTTTTCGTTCTTTATTACTTCGACTCTAGATCGGATAGTCTCTTCTATATATTAACTTCTAAGAGACTTATATACGATATATTAATAAGCTTTATAGCGTTCGATCGCTAGAGACTCTATTATTATCTTTTCTAACGAGAAGACTAATATTAATAAGGCGGATAATATTTTTAAGGAATTTAATAATCGTACTAGCTCTTCGATTAAGAAGAAGTAAGATTAGGTCTTAATATTCTCGTCTCGGGTATAGCTTTATCGCTATTATAATAATTAATTATTTTTTCTATTTCTAAATTCTATAATCGCTTCTTCTGCGTATTATAGATAATCTTTAGATTCCTAGTGTCACGGACAGGTCCACGGCCGTAGGAGTAGAGGTATACTCCAAAAAGACTCGAATTCCAAGCAATTGTGCTTGGGATTCTAGACCTATAATTAATATCCTGCTTACTAGTTACGTATTTAGTTCGTAACACTATCCCCTCCTCCTATACGACTCGTCCTCGAGGCGCGCGCACTCCCTCCCGGAGGCCGCCCTCTACCGAGGTAGTCGCACGTACCGAGGCTCTCGGGGCGCCAAGCGCACAACTCGCACGCACACCGCGCACACGCACACTGCGCATACGCACACCGCGTATACGTACTAGCTAGAACACCAACCGAAGTCCTAAAAACCCCAAAATACTTAGTGCTTTTACCGAGGCTCAAACCCTCGCTAACCGTACGTTGCTACGTTCTCTAGGAGCCTAGAAGCCCTCCTATCTCCAAAACGTATAGACGCCCTACGAGTTGAACTTAGAGCACGCCCCGTATAATTACTTAGAATAATATTACGGATAGGTCCACGGCCGTAGAAGTAGAGGTGTACTCTAAAAAGACTCGAATTCTAAGCAATTGTACTTAGGATTCTGGACCTGTAATTGATATCCTGCTCACTAGTCACGTGTTCAGTTCGTGACACCTAGCTATCGTATACTTCGCTAAATTCTTTCTATCGCCGCGGACATAGAACTTAGTTCGCCCGCGCCTTTAGCGCTTATCGAGGATTCTCTTAACTTTCTATTCTTCCTCTCCCTCGACGTTAATTAGTTCTAGAGTTTCGTCTCTAGGTCGCTTACGATACGCTTATAAGAAAGATATATAGAAGATATAGTATAGTCTACTATATTTCGCTAGGAGATCTAGCTTATACACGTTTTAGCTAATTCTCTCGACGATACGAAAGAAATCTAAGAACTAATTAAATAGCTTACGACTTATATACGAGAGATTAATATTCTTAGATACTAGTAATATACGGTCTTTAATATTAAAGAATATTAGTTACCGTTTCTTATTATAATACTTCGCTATCTTTATAATTTACTTCTTAATAGTAGTTCTCGCCTTAGTAGCGTAGCGTAGCGATCTCGCTAACGCTTTAGCTCTTCGTTCTACGAGTATATTCTTATTTAGGTTTATCTACGAGTCGCGTTCGAGATTTACGTTTAGAGTAGGCGTAAAGCGAAGTACTCTTAAGAAGGGAGTTTCGCCCGTAGTCGTATTAGATATCGAGTTTATCGTATATTTAGCGCTTATAAGTAGACTAGCCTAATCTAACTACTTATAGTTAATATAGTATCTTAGATACGCTTTTAGAGTTTAGTTTATTCGTTTCGTCTAACTATCGATCTAGGGGTAGAAGAATATAAAGAAAAGCCTACGAGTTATAAGAGAGATATATAACGTTCTCTAGTACGCTATAGTAAAGATAGTTCCGTAATTACTAATAATCGACTTAGGGGCGCCGAATCTCGCGACGACTTTTTCTAATACTAGCTAGACTATATTTATAGCTACGATATTTAAGTAATATAGCGTTAAACTTACTATCTTTAAGTATCTATTAATAATAACTAGTATCGTATCGTATACGCGTCCTCCGCTTATTAA